GATGCATATTGTTTCAGTTGTGAGGATTTTTGCTTATATTGAGTATAATATAATCAGTATATAATCAGGTATAATCAGTATGGAGAGCTATAGTCTTTGTCTTCATCTGTTTGTTTCATGTTCACTTGTATTTTAAAGTAAAAAAAAAAGAGATCACAAATTCAAATATATGTTAGGAAACCCATTTGTTAAGCAGGACAAAGGCAAAAGTGAACCATCGGGCTGACGGACACCATCAGCATGAGGTCATATGGATTCACAGTCATGCAGTCACCTGAATAGGTCCTGGAGATGGAAGAAAACTATCACTAGCCAGACACCTTGAGAAAATGAGTCACTGGGCCTAGGGGATCAGGGCCATAGTCGTGGGAGACACCAAGGACAATTGGCTCAATATAGTTCACAAAGACAATGTTCTGCATCCTATTTTGGTAAGTAGCAATAGGGATCTTAAAAGCTCCCGAGAACTCACCTCAGGTTTATAACTATTGATGCCTCACCTAAACCACGGTATTTTAAATCACCATTGGTAATGTTAGGTAGGTTACCAAAGGGCTGGGAATGTCTGTTAACCCATGCCAAGCGAGGGGAACAAAGGAGTGGCGCACTGCACACGCCCAGGGTTCCCGCCGGTAGGCAGGGGTGGGCGTGAACCTGAATTGGCCCACCCATGCCAGGTGAATTCAATTCAGCCAATGGGGTCGCTCAGGGGTCTTCCACCACGCCTCCCTGTGGAACCAACTGGACGGCACCTAACAACATTCCAGTGGCTCATGTCCACAGGTATCATCACCATGCATGTTGTTGATAAAATTTGTTTGCAACGGACAGATCACTGGTATTGTAAAATTACATCATGCATTTTCCAGCATTGTTTCTATCACGTAGGCCATATTTTCCAACTACTGATGTTCTTGTTTCCAACTCTTACATTCCAATTACTAATGTCTATTAGAGTAAACCAGCCTCTAACAATCATGGGGTCTGTAGGTGCAATTGTACGGAGATAATCTATAAAGATTATAATTAAGTCGTAGAAGATAGGAAAGGTAAGAGGGAAGATAAAATAAAGGAATCGGGCTCACCTCAGCCCCTCTTGGTGGAGGTGGAAGACGAGAGGAGGAGAGCAAGACGAATATATTTCGAACCAAGGCTTATATATACTTAGGGGTGTGCAAGCCCCCCTGATTCCAGGTAACCATATATGTCACAGGAAAGGATTGTACCATAGGCAATACAAGCAATGGGGAGAGGGGATGACTTAGGGGTGTACAATGCTATAGAAAGGGGAAGGACTAGGGGTCACATGTGACTAGAAGGGCGGATCCTAATTTCAAGTTGGCAGTCTAACCTTGGTCATCATTGAGTTGGCTGGACCTTGTCTCTGGGCTCTCCTTCAGGGAAACAATTCACTATGCTTATCAGAAGGGAGTGGGCCCTACTTAGTGTGGGACAGACTATAGTCTGATTACTCTAGATGCCTGATAACCCTCAGTGAGATTAACCTCTAAGCAGTTTGCGTTGACCTCCAAGTGTACAGTCATTTACCATGTGATGTAAGCAGTGTCCTAGGTTTGGCATGTATTTGGGGGACAACCTGGGGAAAAGCCACAAATATAATCAATGCATCTTGATTACATGTTTGATCAATTTCAGAGGGCTGGAGTTGGTACAAGTTTTTCTGTTTCTATTTAAATAGTTTTATTGGCACATACTTCATATACCATACAATTTAATCATGTTAAGATTTGTGCAATAGACTGGCTAGACCAGAGGAGGTACACTGGTACAGATAGGAACTGAAAATACAGGGAATCCAGGATGGATGAGCCCTATAGGACCAGTGGTGTGAGTG